AAAAGTGTCTTTATTTCTGCTCTACGTGATTTGTAAGCAGAGATATATAAATGCAAAGTCGAAATATGAAAAATTTCTATTAAGAAACGTCCCCGTCATCATTATCATCATCGACCACGCATACATAGTAGTATCGTGTTACACGTATTCACACGTATACAACACATGCGCACACATATATCACACGTACACAACACATGCAAGATGCATGTAGTGGTAATTTTGTCCATCTCGCACGTTTTACAACAGATGGCGATAGTGGCGCTTCGCCATATCGGCAGCGTGCGGGGTTATGTTGGCTAACTCTCTCTCTCTCTCTCTCTCTCTCTCTCTCTCTCTCTCTCTCTCACACACACACACACACACACTCTCATTCTCACTCACTCACTCACTGTTCGTCTTGTGTACTTATTTAGTACATTCATGATTAAACATCTATATGCATTAATGTGAAATTTACTTACAATTAGTTTACTTGAAATATTCAATCTCTAAAGTGTTTATCTTATAAGATAGACAAAAAAATCTGAGTAAATAATAAGAAAAAAAAACAAAAGGATTATTATTGTCATAATTTTTTATCAATTAAGTACTCTCAACTATCCAATAATTAAATAAATACGTACAAATGTGCGCGCGTGTACACACATACACATATTGATATTAAAGAGATTGAAGGAGAGGAAGGAGAAGATAAAAATTTAAATATTCACATATATTTTCAAATTTTATATATGAATTTATAGTTTACATATCTAATTAATAATGAATTTCTAATTATATTAAACATATCAAAATAAAGACATACATGTATTTATCAAATGAATAAAATTATTGAATACAGACTTAAAAAATTTATTAAACATAGACTTAAAAAATTAATTAATTAAACATATTCCAAATTTAGAAAAAATAAACTTTATTTATATATGCAACAGCTTTTTAAACTAAATTTTGAAATTCTATTTTATATTAGACAATTATCTCAATCAACATCTACGTCCACATTAGCTGCACTGCAGACTACCTCTACAGCCACATTATCTGCTCCGCGGATATAGCGTTATGCCAATTACGATACATTACATGTACTTACTTACTTGCCTTTACTGTACCAACTCTTGTTCTTTCCACGTAATCATGTTTTTACAGTTATCGTTTGCTGTATATCTTCCAGCAAACTTTATTTCGTGTGAAGTGTATTTAATTAATTAAATCTCTGCGAAAGATTGAGAAGATGAAGGGATAATTCAAACTATGAAGACACATGGTTACATGGAAAAGACAAGAGTTGATACAATAATAAAGACATACATGTATTTGTATCCTGCTGGCAGGATAAGGTTATAGAAGTTGATTGAGATTGAAAAATAATAATGAAAATAATAAAAAAAATAAAGACACATGTATTTGTATCGTGTTGGCATAAAGTTATAAAAGTTGATTGAGATTGAAAAATAATAATAAAAATAATTAAAAAAAGGAAATATTCAATCATCATTTAAAAGCATATTTGAAATCTGTAGAATAAACAGTTTTTGCAAAAAATGTAGAGCATTTGAGCTCTAGTAAGTCTAAAAATAAATGTAAACATCAATTAATAATAACTAATGTTATATACAGAGTTTGTATTTTAAGTAATGAGAATATTTTTGTCCTGACGCGGCTGTACGCCAGAGGGCGCTCCGACCGGTTGGAGTCGTGGGGTCTTTGACCTTGATAACGCTCCAATCGGCGGTCGCCTGCTGGCTTTGGTTGAGGCAGGATCACGCGTGGCGTAGACGTCTTCAAAAAAGTGTGTGCAAGTTCAAAATGCAACAAAGCATTGAACAGCGTTACGCAATCAAATTTTGCGTTCGCCTTGGAAAATCGGGTGCATCAACGCTGGAAATGATTCAGCAAGCGTACGGCAGGGAAAGCTTATCGCAAGCTCAAGTTTTTAGATGGCACAAAATGTTTAAAGAAGGCCGGGAGAGCGTGGAGGACGAGCCCCGTGCAGGTCGCCCGTCAACATCAAGAACCTCAGAAAACGAACAACGTGTGCGACATTTGCTGAACACGGACCGGCGTTTAAGTGTTTGCATGATCGCAGAAACGCTAGGAATAGATAAAATGGTTGTGCACAAAATCATCTCACACCTGCTTCGTGGTTACCGAGCACTTGACAAAAAATGGCATCGTAACAATTCCACAGCCTCCCTACAGCCCCGACCTTGCCCCAGCAGACTTTTTCCTCTTCCGCAAAGTGAAAACCGCCCTCAAAGGGCGCCACCACGGGACCCTGGATGTTGTCAAAAGGGCTTGCACGCATGCTCTGAAGGATGTTTCGGTTGGTGACTTCCAGGGAGCGTACGAAGCGTGGAAACGTCGCCTGCAGAAGTGTGTTGATGCTCAAGGAGCATATTTTGAAAACTACTAAAGTTTTGTAGCGATATCTCTAATAAATTATTTTTTGTGGACTTATTCTCATTACTTAAAATACACACCCTGTATATATTATATATATAAACCAATTTGTTGCAATATTCACTATAAAAGGTTGTAAGGGTAAGATGGCTAAAAGTGAATAATTTAAAAGATAGTTAACATAATTTTACATAAACTGAAATATTTCATAAAATAAAATATTTGTAATATTTCGAAGTTTATGTAAGATTATGTAAAAATTATACCTTTACAACTTTTTATAGTAAATATTGCGAGGAATCGATTTATATGAGAAAAATTAAGGTAATTCTATTTTGAAAATATAAGTGACCTTTAAATAACCTTGAAAATCGCCGTTTAGGAAAAAGTCTGTGTCAACTTTTTCTTTTTCGAAATCCTGCAACTTTTATCTAAATTTAATAGAAAATGTATAAAAAATGCTCGACATTAGTACACACACACACACACACACATATGGGTAAATTTATATAAATAGGGTGCTTTAGGAGGAATGATCAGGATTCTAGGATATGATTGTACACATCATTTTAAGCAAAGAAGTTTAGATAAACATGTTTAATAATTGTTCTATTCTGGTCATAAAAATATACAAAAATGAATGATATAATCTCTAAAAACTCACCTTTAAAAAAAGGTAAAAAAAGGCGACCAGTTAAGGGTACGCCATTAACAAAAATTATCCATTGCAAACCCATGTAGAATCCTATCCTATTGCAAACCCATGTAGAATCCTATGAAAAATTAATCATTGCAAACCCATGTAGAATCCTAGGCAAAATTAACCATTGCAAACCCATGTAGAATCGTACCCATTGCAAACCTATGTAAAATTCTATAAAAATTAACCATTGCAAACTCATGTAGAATCCTATGAAAAATTAACCATTGCAAACCCATGTAGAATTGTATTAAAAATTATCCATTGCAAACTTATGTAGAATCCTACATTGCAAACCCATGTACAATAGAATTGTATGAAAAATTATCGATTATAAACCCATGTACAATCGTAACAAAAGTAATGAAATAAAAAAAAAATTGCGCCAAGTGAAAGTAGAAACTTGTACCAGTGGAAAATTAAAGTTGCAGACATATATAGAGTCGTATAATGAATCAGTAAAAATTTAAATTTGCAAATGTAGAATCGTACCATAAAAAAACTTATCTTTTAAAAAAAAAGATAAACAAGATGCCAAGTCCATGCGCCATGTGAAAAAGAAATAAAAAAATTTTAGTTAAAAAAACTGGGCGCGCTGCTAAGTTTCAAAATTACAATGCACCTTAAAGTAACATTAATTAATTTAAACACAAAACATATTTTAACTGTAATGAGTTTAAAAGTAACAATTTAATTTTAATATTGTTAGAATATTATTTAGCAGCGCTCCCAGTTTTTTTAACTAAAATTTTTTTATTTCTTTTTCACATGGCGCATGGACTTGGCATCTTGTTTATCTTTTTTTTTAAAAGATAAGTTTTTTTATGGTACGATTCTACATTTGCAAATTTAAATTTTTACTGATTCATTATACGACTCTATATATGTCTGCAACTTTAATTTTCCACTGGTACAAGTTTCTACTTTCACTTGGCGCAATTTTTTTTTATTTCATTACTTTTGTTACGATTGTACATGGGTTTATAATCGATAATTTTTCATACAATTCTATTGTACATGGGTTTGCAATGTAGGATTCTACATAAGTTTGCAATGGATAATTTTTAATACAATTCTACATGGGTTTGCAATGGTTAATTTTTCATAGGATTCTACATGAGTTTGCAATGGTTAATTTTTCATAGAATTCTACATAGGTTTGCAATGGGTACGATTCTACATGGGTTTGCAATGGTTAATTTTGCCTAGGATTCTACATGGGTTTGCAATGATTAATTTTTCATAGGATTCTACATGGGTTTGTAATAGGATAGGATTCTACATGGGTTTGCAATGGATAATTTTTGTTAATGTTCACACACTTACGCGACCACCCACGCACCAACACATTTATAGACCGATTTTCTCGAAACTGGTACCAAAATTTTGCATATTTTTCGGGGATCACTACTATGTGTTTTTTTTAAGTTTTACAATACTACATACGCATCCACCCACGCATTCGTACATTTATTGATTAATTTTCTCGAAATTGGATATCTATTTATATCTATATATATATAAGTTGCAAATTTTTTAAGGAGTGTGATGAAATGGTGGTTTTTTTAATTTTTAAAATTTTTTTAACATATTGTGTCTTAAAGATAGAAATAAATAAGAATTATTATTTTACATTTTGGTACCAGTTTCACAAAACTCGGTCCACAAATGTGAAAGTAGTTCGCGGTAATATAAAAAAAAGAATTAATTTTTTGTGTTAAAACGGATAATATAGGCTATATGAGAACCGCGCGAAGCGCGGTCCGAAAAGCTAGTATTTTTAAGATTATCCAATAAACAGTTTGTATCACTTGTCAAAGTAAATCTTTTAACAAAGATAGTAATATTTCAATAATCAAGATAGTAATATTCAATAACCATTCTCTGTACTTACTCGAAATTTGAGATCACCCACTGGAGGTTTAGCATATGGTATTCCACGAAAGGCATTGTAAGAATCGCCATAGACGTTTTCCTCAACGATGGCGACTAATGTCCCTTCAGACACATTTACTTTTACTGTTTTGAGTGGCCCTGAAAAATTTATGCTCTGGCTATATTATTACGATAAATAAGTATTTATATATAAACATATATAGAATTTGCTTATCGTGATCCAAAAGCTACGCGATGTCAATATAGAGTTGGTATCTTGATAAATATGAAGATATTATAAATAGATAATTATTTTGTGTGCTACAAGAAAAACGTCACTCTTATGAAATATATCTTTGTAACAGCAATTGGACTACTATTAACAAATTCTTCGATATTGTAAACAAAATTTGTCTTGTCGCAGATATAGAATTTTTTTTTAACAAAATTAATTTTCGTTAAAAATCATTTTGCTGTCTTACAACAACTAATATACTTTATTACACAAGATATATGTACAACAATATCAACGAACGGATTCTTTTCAATGTCATTTGATTGAAAAAGGAAATATATATTAGGGGTATATAGAATTATATATACAGAGTATCTCAAAATTACATTCTTCAGCAAAAATTTCGAAAGAAAGGTCATTATTTTTTGCATGTTTCCAATTTTTGCCATATACACATATCTTTGTAACTAAATCTTAAATTAAAATTCTATTAAAATAAGATATGTGGTTGTATTAATATTTCATTTTTACAAGGTTTAATTTATAATAAGTAATAATGTATAATAATAAGATATAATAAGCTTTACGTTATAATTTAACGAAAAGCTTAATTTTTTTCTATCGCTTATAACTCGAAAATTATTGGTGCCTCGAAATTTTTGCCGAGAAAAAATTGTCTTCAAATGATCTCAGGAATTTCCTTATTATCAGAATGTTTGGTAATTTTAAGACACTCAATATATATACATATTTTTATAAAATTCGTGTTATCTACTCGAAGCACAATTTTCCTTTGTTATTTTCTACCAAATGTTAGCTAGCGTCTGGATGGTATACGTATCTAAAAGCTAGATTACCACAATATTACACATAGAGGCAAGCAATGACTATAGGCTTACTATATATTGATGCTAGTTCGCGTCTAGAAGAACTGGCTCGTAGCTATGCATCCGCGATTTTAAATTTTCACACGGGTGATATTGCATGCGCGCAGCATTAGGGGCAACGGAGAGGCGTTATATGAAAACTTGCTATTGCGTCTTGTCATTGTGTTTCCCGAGGTATGCCCGAAGAATATTGCGATGTGCAGGATGCGCACTATATAAATGCAAATTTACTCGCGGAATTGCGGAAACAAATAAAGTAGTGGTCCACGCACACTGAAGCGGTAATACACAAGTCTACGGAGAAGCTTTCTCGGGCAAGGAGAGATAAATAAATTAAATGTGCAATTGATTGTGAAATAGGGAATTTATTTAAATTGGAAATTATTCTATTCGGTAACCGATCGCGCGACAGTTTGTGTGTTTAAGTGCGCGTTTTCCGCTGGAAAGCTTTCTGTATTAGAGAGCTTTGGATGCTGTCCATAACGGAACGATGTTACATTTTAGGCTTTTTTTCTTGAATTATATACCAACTACAATATTTGCTTATCCAATTAAAATTATATAGATGATCATCTAAATAAGATCTTGTTATTTTGTCTTTAGATAGATAATAAAAATATATATTTTCTATATCTGTATCTTAGATGAACAAAGGGTTATCTTTACTAAATTATTCAGGTAATTTGATTTAGAGTCATAGCATAAAAATAATTAATTAGTATAACTTAAGCAATAAGTATGTCGTCAATGTTTTCTGTTCTCTAAATAAAATTATATATATGCAATTCTGGCGTTATTTTTTTAGCTAGATAATAAAAATATATATTATATGTATATCTGCATCTTAGATGAAAACAATTAAGTGTTATAATTACTAATAAATTATCTAGAATAATGGTCAAATAATTTGATTGAAAGTCATAGCTCGTAATTGCTGTTATTTGAATAAAATTATGTAGATGATCGAGATTAAATTTTGACGTCATTTTATCTTGATATAGATAATAAAAATATGTTTTTATATATGTCTATAGCTGCATCTTGATAAAAAAATGCTATCTTTATTAAATTATCTAGACTAATGTTTAATCTAGACTAATTTGTTTTAAAGTCATAAAACATAAAGATACTTAAATAATAAAGCTTAAATAAGCGTTAACAATTTATAAATAAAAATATAAATATATTTTTATATATACCATTTATAATTTATTATATATATAATTCATTTATAATATATTATATATATTTTCTATAATTATATTCACATAAACGGTCTTAAAAATAATATTATCAAGAAATTATTTAGATGAATACCACATAATTTTATCGTTTATCTAGATATATTTAAAACATAATCACCTTTATTTTATTTACCACATAATTTTAGCGTTTATCTAGATATATTTAAAACATAATCACCTTTATTTTATCTAAGATTAATTTACATATTTTTATCTCAGCTTTATGAAGTTAATTTAAATATTATTTAAACACAACACTGACCATCTGGTAAATAAAAGTCTTACCTGTGTAGTTACCAAAGACAGGTTGATTGAGTATTTGAAGCGTTAGAATGTATCTCAAAATAAAGATCAGACATAGGTTCACGTTTAACATTATCTCTCTTCACGGATGGCAATATTGTTACACAATATCTCGACTAGTACAGGCTGACGAGGTCAACGATCTGTAATAATTTAAAATTGCAGACGATACATTTTTGCCATAAATAAATTGTAAAAAATGTAGAAATATTGGTATCTGCGAAGTGACGATACATAATATTTTAACTGTATGATGTTGACCGCTGTAACTGGGTCATACATTGTTACACAATATCGCTTATATTGTTGGAAAAACACTCTATTTATTAAATTAATTAATTTTTCTGAACTGATTCTCTCGCAAAAAACTGTTGTGTACATGCTATGGAAACAAAGATTCCAGTCACAGGATATTTTATGCTGTGACACTAATTCCTTTACAACACCCGTGTATATACCATATCTATACAAAAATAATAAAGAAATGCAAGACAAAGAACAGATTTAAATATCTGTTATATAAATAACTCTAAGTAAACTAACAAATATTTTGTTGATATCTTGTGGTTCTAATTGAACTACGGAAAAGGCGATAGGAATACTGATACGCAGTGACGTCGCAAAGAATTAGAGAAGTAATGTTTGCTATAAATTTGCTGTATGGCAACGATCGTCTGTTCGTTCCGGTGATTTATATGGTACTGAAAATGTGCGAGAGTCTCGAAACGGCTATCAGTATTATTGTATCGTTATATTTACATTTATTTTCATGTACGTCTGTGTATTGGTGTGTGTCTCCTTCGTCTTGTGTTTATTATAATCCTGCTTACCTGAGTACGTATATGTGTGTCTACGGACATGTATGTCTTTATTTTAAAATGTTTATTTAATTATATTTGTGTTTTTTTCATTATTTGTATTGTATAATTAAAAAATAATATTTTATTAAAATTTATATCATCTTATATCATTTACATTGCAAACATACATTCAAGTAATATCTTCCAATTTTAGCGTTAATAATTGTCTTATATTAGAAAATGGAAAAAATATTGTTTTAACGGATTTTAATATAAAAAAACTGTTAATCTCGGCTCAAATTATTGTGTTACAATAAAAATAAAATCTCGACGGCAATCGGAGCCTGTGCGGATGACATGCACAAAATTAATAAATTAAAATGAGATCTCAAGTCAAACTCATTTATTAAAATCTAAACGTTTCGACCCACTTCGGGTCTTCTTCAGTAGCTGCAAAATACAAAGAAACAAAAAAATAAAAGATAATCGGTACAATCAGAAAATTATAAAACTCGTATACATACAATCCGCAAATAAATTAAATATCATTCTCCTCCCTATTCGAACCGTCCGGTCGTCGGAGTGTCTCCCTAACGGTGACCATCGTCAGGAAGGAAGCAGAGCAGTGACTCCCTTACCAACACTAATCAACATAGTATAAATTAAACGTGTAAGATCCCCAAGAATCATAAATTAAAAACCGGGAAGAACACTCACCCCGACAGCAAAAACAGAGAGAAGACGATGCTACACGTGACACATCACTCTAACGACTGTGCGGTATTCTACCTCAACACAGTCGATACATATATACGCAAAAAAAAAACACAAAAATAAAATATGAAAATAAAAATAAAACAACTAATACTTATCGGCACTCATGTCAAAGGTCTAACGAAAAAATCTGGTTATGTCTAATCACAAAGCTAGATTTTGGTAAATTTTTCAATTAACAGATCAAAATTCTCGTTTAATTTGTCGGTATCGCTATGTAAATTTAAACTATTCTTCTGACGCTTAATGTGGATCATTTCGGATATCAAACGTTTACCTAAAAAAGGCTCCTCATCCAAGATTTTTACATCCTCCCAATTAAATTCATGGTTCAATAATCTATGTTCCGATATGACTGATAATTGTGACGCGTTTCTTTTTATGTTGCTGCGATGTTCTTTCATCCTAGTTTTCAACAATCTACCCGTCTGCCCTACATACGACGCATCACAATCCATACAATCAATTTTATAAACTACATTGTTATGGAGTTCCCTTGGTAACTTATCCTTGTGTACTTTGATGAATTTACGGAGACTGTTAATTGCTGTATAGGATGGAATGACATCCAAATCACGTGTAATGTCCTCGATTCTCTTTGATACATTATTGATATACGGAATATTAAAGTACGAAACTTTTTTCTGCGTTGGAATCTTGTCATTGCATATATTTGTTCTATTGTTATGCAACTTATTATTGTACCGGAAGAACAACTTTTTTAACCGCGCTTGTAATGTTTGAAATATCAATTTGAGAGGATAATTATTAGACAAAAGAACTCCAATCATAGACTCAAAATTATCTTTATGGAATTTCGGATGAGATAGCCAAAAAACTCTATCTATGAGGCTGATAATGGTGCCTTTTTTATGGCAGAGAGGATGCTGCGACTCAAAATTTAAATATCTACCTGAATACGTCGGCTTATGAAATAAATCAAACTCAATGCTTCCATTATTTATAATAATAGTGACGTCTAAAAAATTCAATCGGTTGTCAACCCCTTCCTCCATGGTGAACTGCAATCTAGGATGTATTATTCCACGGGATGAATTTTTATGTGCAATTCGTTTTATTATGAATTCGACTTATTTTATGTTTAATAATGTATGTTATCAACAGACCTTTGGCACGCCTATGGGTTCCCCCCTCTCACCGATCATTGCGGATATCACGTTGCAAGATTTGGAGAATAGAGCGATTGCTGCGATTCCAATGTCATTTCCATTTTATTTTAGATATGTTGACGATATCGCGTTGGCGGCCCCTCCCTCCATGCTTAAAATTGTTTTAAACACTTTCAATTCTTTCCATCCTAGATTGCAGTTCACCATGGAGGAAGGGGTTGACAACCGATTGAATTTTTTAGACGTCACTATTATTATAAATAATGGAAGCATTGAGTTTGATTTATTTCATAAGCCGACGTATTCAGGTAGATATTAAATTTTGAGTCGCAGCATCCTCTCTGCCATAAAAAAGGCACCATTATCAGCCTCATAGATAGAGTTTTTTGGCTATCTCATCCGAAATTCCATAAAGATAATTTTGAGTCTATGATTGGAGTTCTTTGTCTAATAATTATCCTCTCAAATTGATATTTCAAACATTACAAGCGCGGTTAAAAAAGTTGTTCTTCCGGTACAATAATAAGTTGCATAACAATAGAACAAATATATGCAATGACAAGATTCCAACGCAGAAAAAAGTTTCGTACTTTAATATTCCGTATATCAATAATGTATCAAAGAGAATCGAGGACATTACACGTGATTTGGATGTCATTCCATCCTATACAGCAATTAACAGTCTCCGTAAATTCATCAAAGTACACAAGGATAAGTTACCAAGGGAACTCCATAACAATGTAGTTTATAAAATTGATTGTATGGATTGTGATGCGTCGTATGTAGGGCAGACGGGTAGATTGTTGAAAACTAGGATGAAAGAACATCGCAGCAACATAAAAAGAAACGCGTCACAATTATCAGTCATATCGGAACATAGATTATTGAACCATGAATTTAATTGGGAGGATGTAAAAATCTTGGATGAGGAGCCTTTTTTAGGTAAACGTTTGATATCCGAAATGATCCACATTAAGCGTCAGAAGAATAGTTTAAATTTACATAGCGATACCGACAAATTAAACGAGAATTTTGATCTGTTAATAGAAAAATTTACCAAAATCTAGCTTTGTGATTAGACATAACCAGATTTTTTCGTTAGACCTTTGACATGAGTGCCGATAAGTATTAGTTGTTTTTATTTTTATTTTCATATTTTATTTTTGTGTTTTTTTTTTGCGTATATATGTATCGACTGTGTCGAGGTAGAATACCGCACAGTCGTTAGAGTGATGTGTCACGTGTAGCATCGTCTTCTCTCTGTTTTTGCTGTCGGGGTGAGTGTTCTTCCCGGTTTTTAATTTATAATTCTTGGGGATCTTACACGTTTAATTTATACTATGTTGATTAGTGTTGTAAGGGAGTCACTGCTCTGCTTCCTTCCTGACGATGGTCACCGTTAGGGAGACACTCCGACGACCGGACGGTTCGAATAGGGAGGAGAATGATATTTAATTTATTTGCGGATTGTATGTATACGAGTTTTATAATTTTCTGATTGTACCGATTATCTTTTATTTTTTTGTTTCTTTGTATTTTGCAGCTACTGAAGAAGACCCGAAGTGGGTCGAAACGTTTAGATTTTAATAAATGAGTTTGACTTGAGATCTCATTTTAATTTATTAATTTTGTGCATGTCATCCGCACAGGCTCCGATTGCCGTCGAGATTTTATTTTTAACGGATTTTATTTTTCTTAACATTTACTCAAAACAAGTAAAATTTTTTTTACATATTGTACACTTCGATATTTTAAACATACCAATTATTATGTACAAATATCTTGTCAGCAAATCTGTGATTTTTTGTATAGCTGGTGGTATAAGAAAACACAAAATTTCATTCGCTATAATTTTTTAAAATACGTTATGTACCTTCTTATCGGAATTTTAAAGAAGGAGAATACTCGCGAATTATGTTGTTTTCACCTATTTGTAAAAAGTTTATGAATTCAAAAATTATTAAAATACTTAAAGAATCATAGGTTTCTAATATAGTTTTTAATACATTTTAAAATAACTACTACTACTACTACGACTATATTTTAAATTATCTTTATATATAAATAAATTATATCTTATTGTGGATGATATAAATATTGTTTTTATTGTAATATAAATATATATTTAATAAATATATTTTTAAATCAAAGAAACTTTTGTATAATTCTTAAAATATCATTTTGTACAGTCCATTTCATGATTATTTATATTGGAATTCTCGGTGTATACATCTATAGAAAAATAATAAAGAAATTCAAGTAAATAAAGAGATTTAAATATATTACATATTTTTATATAAATAATTCTAACTGAACTCACTTTATATTGTTGATATCCTGTAGCTTTTATTGCACTACGGAGAAGGCGATGCTGATAGTAATGCGCAGTGACGTTGCAAAGAAATTGAAGGTAATATTCACTGTAAAGCTGTTCGGTAACGATCGTCTGTTTGTTCCTGCGATTTATATGGTACTGAAAGTGTGCGATATTCTTGAAACGACTTCCAGTGTTCTTGTATCGTCATATTTACGTTTATTTCATGTACGTCTGTGTATTGGTGCGTGTCTTCCTCGTCTTGTGTGTATTATATTCTGCTTGCCTAAAAGTATGTATGTGTGTATCTGCGCTGATTTGTATATGTGTCAGGGTTGGGAAAGTTACTTTGTAAAAGTAACTAGTTACAGTTACAGTTATTTCATTGAAAAAGTAACTAGTTACAGTTACAAGTTACCGATTTTAAAAAATAATTCGTTACAGTTACAGTTACTCTAAAGTAACGAGTCGTTACTTTTCAGTTACTTTTTAAAATAATTATACATTGTTTTAAATATAAGGAGCTTACATTTTATGCACAATTACAGTCAATGAAAAAAATTCTTGAATGTAATATTGATCGATTTGCTTGCGACTTTGCAATTAACATCAATGTATGAATGACCTTTATATACAACAGTAAAAATAGTTAAAGTAAGTTACTAAATGGTAATCGCAAAGTCGCAAGCAAATTGATCAATTATTACCTTAAGAATTTTTTAAATATTTGACTGTGATTGGTCGATCTTAATTATGTGTTATATTATTTTTATGTACACAAAATGAAAATTTTAGGTAAAAGATTAAATCATATGAAGATCCATATGCTACTGTTATCAAAATTTAATTTAATAATATAACCTACCATACTTAAACAATACTTTTAGCGCATGTTTCAAAAAAAGTAACTAATAAAGTAACTATTAAAATAGTTACTAGTTACTAAAAAAATGTAACTAACAAGGGACATGTCACAACTGTCCGGAACCGATTTGATTCTCCTTGAAATATGTTGTTAAATACACAAATCTAAAAGACACGTATTTTTTTATACGTGCGCATTTGAGTTTTAAGGGGTGAAACACCCCCTTAAAGAATAACGGTATTTTTTTCTTTAGGATCAAATATCTGCTAAACTATATAAGATATAAAGAAAAAACGTACAACAAATTTAAATGGCTTGAAGAGTAACTTTAAAGTTATATGAACAAAATTTTTTTTTTTTTTTTTTTTTTTTTAAAACCCTCACCAACCTAATTTTTTTTTTCAAAATTAAATTTTGTTTTACCTAAGCTTAATTTTTTTTTTTTTATTTTTTCCAAATTCAACCATGTGTAATAAAGTTATGTACGAAATATCATTTTCGAAAATTAATTATAAACGCTCCCGTATATACGCTCATCGTGCTATGTGCGTAAGTAATTACCGTCGAACAATAAAATATAAAAATGTTTTTGTATATTCTTACTTATGTTTTCTATGTATTTATAACTGTGTCATTGTGTATATTTTTAGATTTTTTAAAAATGTATTT